AAAAAAAAAGCCTACAAAAAAGGCCCTAAAAAATTTTAAAAATCGTACATAAAATAGATCCAAATTTCACGATAATCCAATTTCACGATAATCCGTGACAATTAATATTAGGGTTAGGGTTAGAGATTAGAGTTAGTAAAAAATATAATTTATAGTAAAATGTTGCAAGGAATTTTTTTTTCTTAGAGCCCGAAAGATGGTTTCATAATTAAAATTTTAAGATATTTATTTTTGTTGTACAAAAAATGACTTGTTGTTTTGTGTAATTCTCCTATAGCAAGTGTCTATCTGATCCAGGATAAGCACAATTTACGTTCTCTCATTGGCTAATTCCCTTTGAGGAGATGTAGAACCGCGTGTACTTATTTGTGCGAGTGATACAAATCTATAAAATGTGATTATCCCGGATCAGTCCTACACATGAACTAAGCGAAGAAAAACACGAAAAAAAAACGAAAAAAGCGAAAATACAAGAAACTGAGTGTTTAAACCTGCCTTGGGTCACTAATTAAAAGTGACGGAAATAAAATTTTACATATAGGAAGTAAAAGTTTATTTCTATAGCATCTAACTTCAGCGTTCTAACCCTAAATTTTTATTTTCACGAACCTGGTTTATTTTTACGTTGAATTTCCTTTTTTGGGTTTGTATCACTCGCACAAATAAGTATTTCCACGTAGAACCTTCCAAATTTTTAATTAAAATTGATATGAGGTTAAGGTTAGATTTAGTGAGGAGAGAAGCGCAATACTGGTTTAGATATCTTTTTCATTTTGGTCGGTCTGATGGGTTAATCAAAATTTTTATATCGGGTAAGAAGAGCCAAGTTTTAAACGACTCCCTTTTTTGGGTTCATATTACAAACAAAGTTCACGAGTGAACGTGAACAATCTACGATTTTAAATATACATGCGAATCAAATTTTAGGATATTATAGATATGCCCTCGGTGTCTGTGAGAATCTATAAATTAAAAAATATTATAAACAAATAGTTTCGGTGTCTCTTGTATTCGTCATAAAAATTTTTTAATACTGCGGCAACTGAAGATTTTGATATCTATCGCATGATGATCTACATTACTTGAATTGCAATCCTCTAAACAATTTCACCCAGTTAAAATAATTTTGGTTTTAATCGATTTTGTGATTTAAACAAAAAGTTTACAATTGTAGTGTCTCAGACTAACGCTCGCGTGAGATTGTAGCTTACGCGTCTCAGATGATCTGCAACCCCACACAAGCGATAGTCTGAGAATGACATAAGATAATGACATGCTAGTACCTTGGCACGTTCGATATAATTCATATACTAGTTTCATAACGATGGATGTAATTACAATAATATTCGTCGACAGACATAATTTTATAGCAACGAAAAAAAAACTTGGCTAATTATCACATTTAATAGCCTATGTAGAAACATTTTTCATAGATTACGATGTGCAACTTTTTTATCCATCATTCAGGTTGGGGCTTGAAACAGATAAGCTTATTACAGTATTAGACAGACTTGAGTAACGTGTACGAAAGTCCATGCATTGTGTTTAAAAACTTATATAATAATTGTTTAAATTTATGATTCTATTACTGAATGGTCCGCAAAAAAAGTTTACATTGTTGATGCAATTAGAGTTACTTTTTTGATACTTTCATATATATATTATCAAAAATACAATAAATTACATAACGTGTAGATAAATATCTGAGTTTAACCCATCTTTTTTTTTTTTTTTTATATAAAAAATTTCATGTGAAACTTTATGAATTTGTTCAATTCTACAATATTAAAATGAAACGCCTAAGGTAATAAAACAAATTACCCTCAATCGAGGAAATTAAGCATTCCATATTTGGAAACGGACGACGCTTACGCTAAATGGTATGTTGTAAATTATTCGATGGTAACAAAGTACGTACGTAATTTCTTTCATAAAGCGCTTATCACTCACAAAACTGGTGAATATGAGTTTATTAATTTAATACTTTCGATCTACTCTGCAACGTTGATCTTTTGAACTTTTCTACTTAATATGAATTAAAAAATAAAAGCTATCATATGATTAATAGTCAATCGAAGTAGGATTATCGTATTCAAGTGAAAATTGAGCTTTAATATTAACGAGATTTTCGAGATCAATGATGACGGTTCGCCCCGAGTTTTTTTTTGTAGCCTATATCAATGCGTCCAGTTTGACTCTTTTCTTATGTCTTTCAAAGCTTTACTCTTGTTACGCTGTAAAGACTTTTTATTTTGATTTATTTTATTTATTTTTCTTACATTTTCGGTTCCACCCTTGGTAGCCGAGCTTTCATCAACATCAAGGTGCTGGAACTTTTTAAAAATTATAAATTACCGCTATCTTACACGTAGGGTCTCTTGGTGACTGAATGAAAAACATTCTATAGAAAATAAAAATGGAAGAAGAACATCTTAACCCAATCGTGGGTGAACACCCACGCATTTCCCTTCCACAGAGCTCTGCAGTGAGGGATTCGGTCATTACCTACAGTACTGATATTGGAGGTAGCAGTATTGGAGAAACTCGAACAAACACGTTTACGAGTAAGCAAATGACAGAAAGCTCTCCACGCTTCTATCGCCAGAAGCGTTTCTGGACTATATGCGTTGCTGTGACTATAGTGCTTTTGGCCATATTTATTCCTCTATTTATCCTCGTCATTTTTCCCGCAATCGCTCAATCTGCAATTGACGGTTCTACATTAAATCTTAATAGTATAAACCTCACAGATATTCAAGAAGATAGTGTAACAATAGCTTCTAGTGGCAATGTTACCAATGCTGGTCCTTTTTCGTCTACAATATCTTTCGATGAACCAGTATCTATGATTTACAATGGTATAGAGATGGCTCGACTTAATTTTGATCCTATTTCAACTAATAATGGTCATGCAGATATTATATTAGGTGCGAGAAAATTAACAATTATAGACAAAGATGCATTTAGCAATTTTTCACTGGATGCCTTTGTACAGGACAGTATAAAAATGACAATAAAAGGGTCTGCTCGTGTAAAATCTATTGGTATAACAAGAGGCAGTTTAAACTTACATAAGGAAGTCACACTGAAAGGTGCTAGCAATTTCCCTAATGTCAGCATAGCATCATTAAATATCAATCAGGATCCTCAGAATCCCAACAACCTGATAATAGAACACATTGCCCAATTATATAATCCATCTATTTTTTATATAAATATGGGCAAATATGGTGCAAATATTGTTTATAATAATACTCACATTGCAAGTATGGTGATTACGAATTTCACATTAGAGCCCGGTATGAACAATATCAGCATGATTGGTAATGCAGTTATGCCAAATTCTCTTCAGGATCTTGCTAATTTAGGTTCAGTTATGCAAGCATATATGACAAATAATCCAATAACGACACAAGCGCAAGGTGTATATGTATATCCAGATGGTCAAAATTCTGTGGCATGGCTTACATCAGTAATCACTAAACTGCCATTGAACGCTGTCGTTGGCAATAATCCTAGACTTGAAATAATTACAGGCTTAGATCTTGGTAACCCTACTGTGAATTTTAATGGACAACCAGATTATGCGGCTTTATTCTCTGCTACAAATGTTAAAGCCAGATATAAATTACCTTTTAACATTAATACAACAGTATTGCAAGTTAAACAAGACATTACACTCCTCACTGAAGATGGTCAAGAATTTGCTAATCATTCTACCAGCATCATTACTGTTACTAACGATAATGGTACTGAAATTATCATTGATATTCCACCAACTCCGCTCACTGTGATTTCTGGCAACAATAATATATATCAAACATTTTTTGCAAATTTAACAAAAAATGATCAGGGAGTAGTGAATATAAAAGGTTTAGTTAATATTGTAGCCAATACAACTTTGGGTGCCATTCCAATTAATGGGATTCCATTCAACGTTACCACTACATTACAAGGCTTTTCTAATTTTGCCAAGACCGCTCCTACCGTTAACAATGTAACAATTCTTGATGCTACTTCAAGTTCTATGGTTCTTGGAATTCATGCTACTATTCACAACCCTTCAAATATGTCAATTATGCTTGGCACTACAACTTTTAAGATCCTCCACAATGATGCAGAAATTGGTGTAGCTAGTACAAATCTGTCAGTTGTCCCTGGCGCTAATAATGTTACTCTCCAGTCAACTATGGATCCAAACAATTCACCTCAAGCTACTGAAATCCTTACAAACTTTATGAACAAAATTGATTCTCTTGTTATTGTCGCAGGTTATGATGGTTCAACTAGTTTTGATAGTTTGAAACTTGCATTTGAAGGTTTAAGCATGAATACAACTTTATCACCTTTGAAAAATCCGTTGATTAATAAATCAACCTTACATATGCGTGATAATACACCAAATGATGGTATAGCAACAGGAATTGTGGATATGTCAAATCCTTTTGTAGCTGGATTGAATATTATAGCGATTGAGTCAACCATTACTGCTGATGATTTTCAACTTGCAAAAGTCTCTCAATCAAATCTTAATATTAATATTCCTGGAGGTAAAACAATTACTACCGATTTACCAATATCACTTAACCTTGATCCTCCTACACTTTTTGGTCTTTTACGTCAAGAAGCCAAAACAAAAAAACTGAATACCGATGTAATTGATACCTTGATATCTATAGGTAATATTAATGTTCCAGGGGTACCTCATATAGATCCTTCAAAAATTAATCCAGACATTTTCGATAACTTTGATATTATCAAATTCACCAAATCTGCTATGGGTAGTATTAGCACAAACATGTCAAATGTAGCTACTGTTGTAATTGTTGGTAAATCTGGTAGCTACCAATTAAATTCTTTGCCTATGACTCAACTCGTTACCAACAACGTGGATGATAGTATTAAAATCTTAATTAGGCATCTTTCTGTACCAATTGCTACATCAATTGTAGCTGCATCAACTACTACTTTCACTAGTGTTAAAATTCAAAACCCAGGTGAATCCGAATTTACTTCTATAATTAGTGGAGAAATTGAAGCTACTGTACCACTTAGTGCTCAAATTGCTACTCCAAATGGTTTTTCTGTAACCTTTAATGATAAAAAACTTGGTAATGTTAACTTTCCATCACTCAAACTTGTCCGAGGAAAAGGGAAACTCAAAAGTTTAAAATCCCAATTTAAGATTGAAGACAAAGACGCTTTAGCAGACTTCACTCAACAATTCTTAAATGTAGATACAGTCTCATGGTTAATTACTTCACCAAGTATCACCGTTACTGCAATGAAACTTGACATACCTGGAGTTCCATTTAATCAAAATATTCAATTAAAGGGTGCGAATGGATTCAAAAATGCTATTAAAATTAACAAATTTGAACTTCCGGGAGATGCACATGAAGGTGGAATTTCAACTACTATTGATGCTACACTTTCAAATTCTGGTACAATTGGTATAGAATTGGGAACTGCTTTATTCGATGTTTTCTCTGACACTACTAAGATTGGTGAAGTTTCTACTGATGGTTTTGTCCTTCAACCAAATGGTGATTCAAGTCTTAAGTTAAAAGGTCGTTTAATTCCTCAATCAGGTGATGGTTTGCAAGTTATTCAAAAAATATTTAATGAATTTCTTGCTGAGCAGGAAATTCCTCTTTCAACAAAGGGGACAGGCATCAAACCTTCAATCAATTGGATTGAACCTGCATTTAAATCACTTAAAATAGATTCAGTTCTTCCAGCTCAACATAATCCACCTCTTATTTCCGGTATAAATCTAGATAAACTTAGTTTAACCTTTACACCAGACACTGCATATAATCCTGACTCTTCTTCAGACAAAATCACAGCTGAGGTACAAACGTCTTTCGGGTTCTCTTTGGACATTACAGATGTTGCACAAAAAGTTGTTATAATTAATGATGGTGCTAATATGGCCGAACTCGACCTTGCTAAAACACCTACATCTTCAAAAATTAAAGATGGGAAAGGAACTGTTGATATTTCATATAAACATATTCCGTTACAAGTATTTGGTGATGCACACAGCAATTTTGATTCATATGTTAAAGATTTAACCATTAAGGATTCATTAAAGTTTGGTTTTGTGGGATCTACCGACGCTTTCGTTAAAACACCTGTGGGAGAAGTAACACTTAGTAACATTAGTGTGAATGTCATTAGCAAATTGGATGGATTTCAAGGTTTTAATTCGAAAAAATCACCAGCGAAACTTATAGATGTTACAAATGGCACGGAAGATACTCTTACTATACCAATTAGTACATCTATATTTAATCCAACCGGCAATACAATCAGTGTTGGTGATGTAAATTTCGGCTTTTCTTTTGAGAAACAAGTATTAGGAACCGCTCTTATCCAAAAATTAACTCTTGTTCCGGGAATTAATAATGTCACTTCTATTGTCACATTCAAACCAACAACAGATGCTGCTAAAGTAGCAGGTTTGAAAATGTTTTCTAGTTTTGTCTCGAATAAAACAGTATCAACCGTCATTTTTGGTTCAGAAAAATCAACAGAAGTAGATAGTTTGAAAAAAGCATTTTCAGCAATAAGTATTCAAAAAGAATTACCGCCCTTACCCAGACCATTAATTAAATCTATGTTCGTCAGCCTTACTGATACCACACCCCAAACTAAACTAGCGAGTGGTGGTTTCTTCTTTGACAATCAATTTACAACTGACATCTCTATGACGGGTGTTCAAAACGGTGTAGTTAAGTTTCATAATATCCTCCTTGGATTGATTAATATCACATCTCCATTCCCAATTGTCTTTCCAGGAAAGAATGTTACACAATCACAACCACCGCTCCCCATAACTCTTAATCTAAACCCGAAGGATCTTATTAATATAATTAAACTTGCAGCTAAAGATGCAGGTATTGATATTAGCCCGATAATCCCACTTCTAGATATCTCATCATCTGATCACAAGAGAGATGTACATCTTTCTCCAGCAGCACCTGCACATCCACCTCCAGCTTCAAATAAATCTCCAGCTGCACCTGCATCACCAGAACCAGATAAAAAACCCAAACCACCTAAAGGTAATATTACCGATCTTATCCTAGAAGTACTCAACAGTATGAAAGTTGATCTCACTGTAGAACGAGCGGATTCAAGTATTGGTAAATTTAAGGCCCCATTAGCAATGGAAGTAAAAAAAGTGCCCGTAGCTTTTGATAGCTCAGCACTTATATTAATGAGTGTAGTTGCCCCTCAAGTTGCACAAAGAATTATTGATCATAGTAAAATTTCGATGCAATCTTCATTCATCGCAAATGAAAAACCTGATAGCTTTATTACTCATACAGCTAGTAAGA